CAAGTCTCAGTAAAACTGTGGTTTGCAAATGTCACACAAATACTTTCAAGTATCTGTCATTTTCTGTGTTCATGCTGCCCCTTTAGGTCATAAGGTTGGCAGCACCCATCCTCCCCAAAAAGAAAGGAAAAAGGTGGTTTCTTGAGTTGTTGTCATCCTGATTTCTTCACCAGGAGGACTGTGATAGCTTCCTCTTCCTCATTCTCAGTTTCACTTGGGGCTAATTTAATACTTTTTCTAATGTGTTTTTTTTAATTTATTTTTTTATTTGTTCTTTATTGATTGGCAAAATAATTTTTTATCTGTATTTATTATATATTTTGTTTCATATATGTCTGTACGTATCTTATTCTCCCTTTGTTTTAAAAAAAATTTTTTGCTACCCTTACAACCTTTTTGTCCAATTCCCCGGAGTTTTCTTTCTAACCATTGCTAAGTTGCTTATAGGCCTGCAGTGTTTATTATTCCGTTTCTCTAGTCTTATAAAGCCCATTTTTATGTTAAAGTCATAAATATTTCATTCAACACTAATAATTTTTACTGTAGATATAAACATTTTGACTATACTACAAAATTATGCAAATATAAACAAATATAAGCATTATAAGCAAAATTGTAACAACTTAGACAATAGTCACCTGAGCATCAGAAAAATAGTTGCAGCAAAACAAGCTAAATCCAAACCCCAGGCAGTCTAGGGAAGTACAGACAAAGCCTGAGAAATTAATCTTGAGGCCTTGCAGAGCTGGTACAAGGTCTACAGCTTGTTACAAGCAATAGCAATACTGGCTTATAGGACTACAATAGTAGCTAAAGAAACATATTTTTTTTTCTTTATTGTTTTTTTTTTTTAATATTATTTTTAACCTTATTATGTCTAAATAGCAAATGGACTAGTTATATTCAGTGGTGTTGTACGTTCCTGTTTTATTGTTCTTACGGGATTTGAAATCGTGGCTGTTCAAGCTAGAGACAAATTCTCTAGCAAAGAGGAATCTTTGCGGAATGCACATAACGTAAAGTCAACCAACAACAAGGAGCAGTAATACCTGATTTTATTAGGTAGGGTGCCCTTTACATATCCTGAGAAAATGGAGAATAGCCTTGTTGGGGTCACACCTTTTTCTGGAACTTTCCTTTTCTTGAAATCCAAACTGGATTTCTGAAGAAATTTTGGTGTGTGCCACTGCCTGCTACATCTAAACAGAATTCTTGCACAGTCTGAAAGCTTCTCTTACCACTGTGAATTTTAGAAAATGCATCATGGTAAGAAATAGTGAAGATGTCAAACAGAAAACAGACAAAAAGTGGAGAGTGCAGTCCGTAAACGAATGAGTATTTTAAAATTATGTATTTTAGAACTGTAAGAAGTGATAGTAATGTAAGTCTCTAAATTACTAAAGGTGCATTTATCCCAACCTGACAGGACAGAACAAGCAAGATAGTTGTAAATACCACTGCAGATAGCACTATCAATCTTAGGCTTATCTTTCCC